ATGAGAAAAAAAATCAAACTAAAAGCATCTTCCCTCCCATCCGTCCTCTTCTACTTCCTCCACTCATAATGGTGCAGAAATGGGAAATAGAATCTGTGATCCGCCCATAAGGCTTTGCTCTCTGCCATTCTTTATTCCTCACTCTATTCCTCAGCTCTGATTTGGAGTCCTCCCATGATCCTTCCCAAACTGATCCTGAGTGGGCTTCCCACAGACTGCAGCTCTTCAAGAACTGTTTCAGCATGGGTCTGTACTACAGTGTGAAATCCTTCAGGAGCAGACCGCTCTAGGTTCCCACAGATGATAGGTCCCTCAGATCTTCTGCTCCACCATAGGCTTCTTTCCACTGAGACTGCTCCCTCAGGCCATGTCCACCTGCTTCACCTGCTTCTCCATGGGCTACACATGGAGATCTGCTCTCTGTGGTACCTCATGGGGTGCAAGGGGCCTCAGTTTGGCCTGTCCTGGGCAGCAGGGAACTTTTTCTGCATGGTTGGTGCACCTCCTGCCCTTTCTTCACTCACTTTGGTTGAATACTGTGCTGGTTATTTTATTTTATTCATTTTTTTGGCCTTCTTTCTAGTCCCAGATTATGGGGGAAGAAAGAAAACCACATCTGGACACGAATTTCTTACAGCTCTGTACCATATTCATTTATTCTTTTTTCTCTAAATTCAGTGTGATTCACAATACTTTTTAAAATTCAGATTTTGAACCATTAATTATGTAGAATAACAACTTAAACATAGAACAGGTTTTTTTTGAACACAGTATCAGTACAGAAGTATTTCTCTAATTATAAAGAATAGCAGCAAGATATTCCCTGATATACAATTTATTTTCTCTTTAATCGGGTAATAATGGACAATCTTTCGTAAACAGTAATTATTTCCCCTTGAGCAATCAGAACAAATACACACAGACTATTTAATGTAAAACATAGACTATTCAGCGTAGTTAAGCACACATTGCTTTGACTTCCAGCTGGCCATGAATTCTTTGTAATTAGCAAAACACCTGAAGTTCTATTTTTCAGTCTCTGATTTAGCTTACAGCATCTGTTAATAACTTGCAAAAAATTGGGAATTGCAATGTAACAAAATATTCCTTATATAAATTTATTGGACCTATTGAAATACAATTCCTATTTTATGTGTTTAAATATTTTATGTTTCCATAACTATTCAGATCTTCTGAATGATGCTTGAAGCTGTGTTTTCTCTGTCTGGAACACACCACACATGCTCCAATGATGATGATATCCACTAAAACCTTTGAGATCACCATCCCTCAGCTGTTAACCATAATGTAATGGGTCTGTAAATCATCTGGGATCTTCAATTTGGATCTGACTGTTCTGCTTTAGACAGTCATATCAGAAACAGTGAAAAGCTTTCTAATCCTTAATGCTTTTTTTCATAAGAATAAAAAAACAGTACAAAAAGCAAAATCAAAGTACTAATGCCTTCAGAATAAGTGAATATGAAGGATACAGAAGAAAATATAAACTGACCCTCATAGAATGACATCTCTCTTTTTTTTTTCTTTTTTTTCCCTTTGTCTTGCTCCAATTTATAGAGGGAGTGGAGGTTCTTTGATATATGTATACCAAGCGTGACATTAAGAAACAAGTGTTCAAATGTTAGTCCGACCGGTTTATCAGATCTTAATCAGGGAGATGGGGAAGGGGAGAAGGGCAATAGAAAAGATAGGAAATAGAAGCAAGAAGTCTTTGTAGGAAGCAAGAGCGAGATAGCCACCACCATGGATCCAGTGTGATTCGTAGTTCAGTCATTGATCTTCAGTAGTGGTGGGTCATTGGGCGTTGTTGTTCCATTGACAACAACAGTATTCAATGGTAGTACCAACTTATTTATAAGTCCAAAGTTGTTGAGTCAGCTCTCTTTGGAGTGACAGCTCAAATCCAAAGTGGTTGAGTCATCTCTCCTTCGAGTGGCAGTTCCTGTCTCTGGGGTCTCAGCAGAAACTCCTTTGTTCCCATCTTCTGGGCCTTGCTAGCAGATAAGAGGGAGAAGGGATGCTCACCTGCATCCTGTTTTTCACAGGACAATTCCCCAGTTTTCTCATACCAAGCTGGAGCTATTTAGTCACAGGACAGATCTTCCACCAGTAAACACTCCTGAGCACTCTCTTCTGGAGGCAAACAGCTCTGGTTTCAAATGTCCACAAAATGATGTTCGTTGTAACACGTTAGCACCCACCACTTGCCTCCTCAATAAATCAGTTAAGAGTCTTATCACAAGAAATAGGAAGAAAGCTTTGAGCCAAAACAAAAAAACCAACAAAGAATTCTCATACCTTTAGGTGACTTTTAAGAATACTTGGGGTCATCAAAATCTTTAATAAGCCCTTATATGTAGAAAAAAGTTATTTCTTCTGTGCATCCAGAAAACATACTACTTTCTGTCCATCTGGGCTATTTTGTTTTTTGCGCAGAAAATTTTGCTTCCCTCTCTTTTTATGTATTTCTACCCAACTTTGACTATTTGAGAGAAGAAAGCATTCCTTCCTGTGACCTATGTAACACTTCTAATAAAACATTCCATAGAAAGGGTAGACAAAACCAAAAAGACAGAACACCATTCATAAAACAAAATATTTAAGATGTACAAAGTGATTTACTTAAAAAGGTCTCCTTAAAGGCTAGGTATTGACCAAACACATTAATTGCTTCTACTAAATAGCACTAAAATGGAAAAATGCAGAATGAATATATATATATATATATATTACTTCCCAATGCTTTGATTTTATTTTGTTACAACACACATTCTAAACATTAATGTGCTAGGATAATATATAGCCTAGCATGTTCTCTTCTAATTTTAGCGATTTTTGAGTTCAGCTGACATTAAGTTTAGCAAATTTTTAACTTAAATTCAGTAAGGCTCACTTTATGCATTTCTGGCTTTACCTCACACATATCTAGGAAATATACTAAATACTCTAATACAACTCTTATCATGTTTATGTGGAAGACAAGGAAATTTTCTGAAAAGTATGTATAGTACTTACATGCAATTCAAAGTCATATGTTACTCATTTAGGAAATTCTTCTTTAAAAGTATTATGAAATCTTGAATTATTTTCATGAATTAGAACACTTATATCCTGTAGTTAACAAAATACGCAAGTTAGAGATGTAGTCAACAAATACGCAGAGCGGGGGCTGTCAAGGTCACCAGGCGTAACCAGGCGTAATCTGTGTGGGCCCCTTGCGTGGTCAGCTAATACGTGAAAGGGGGGCTGTAACAGTCATCAGCCTCTGCGGGGGCTCCTTGACTCATAAGAAAACCATGATGAGACATGACAAGACAAGACATGCCACATGTCTATTGGACACAGATAACCGTAGCAAGGGTGATTGGTAGCACTGTGATATACGGGACAACTATAAGAAGAGTGTGTTGCTTGCAATAAGTGCCATTTGCCGCTCACCACATTGGTGTCATAAAAGCGTGTGATTTGGCCGGGGCTGTCTGAGCACTTCACGACGGGACATTATTCAGAGGTTGCCGAAGCAAAGGCAACATTTTGTAATTTTTAACAGTAGTAGACACCTCTTTCTCTGTCCTGTGACATTAAAATTATTTGAGTCTTCTTAACTCTTAATTTAACCATCTTGCTTGTATTGATAGAACTAAATAATGTGAATTGAGTCCTTCATATATACATACATATATATATATATAAGATCTCATTAGATGCTACATTCAGTATGTTTTCCATCTCATGCATATGCACACATACACATATATATATCCATAAATAAGTATATATTATTTCAATTATTTTCTTGTCAAGTAAAAATAATCATAAATATCTTAATAATAAAATAATGAGATTTTCAAAGGAATATATATCTTTTATTGCTTACTGCACCTGTTGCATGTATTTAGAATGCTCTGGGAGAAATATTTAAGCAAATTTACACACATTATATGTTATAATGAGGTATGTTCATGTAAAATTATTCCTTTTAAATCAAAATGTTAATATTTCAAGAATTGCATTTATCTAATAAGCTAATTTCAGCAGTATTTATTCCTGAAGTTGATTGACATGCAATGAGATTTTAAAAAATAAAATATAATAAAAAAATAAAAATATAAAAAGTATTATTTTTATACTTGAAACTAAATTTAATTTATAGTATATACTGAAAAACAGCCATTTTATTCTAGAGCAATTGGGAAAAAATATTAAAGATATACAATTAGAAATGTGTAACAGGGAAAGCTGTATTAACATTCCTAAAGTGAATACACTGCTTTGTTCCTGTAATAAATTTGTGGTGATTAAATATGAAATATATATTTCAGATATAGTCTTTTTTATAATTTTGTTTATTTATTTATTTATTCATTCATTCATTCATTTATTGCTGTTGGCTAATTTATTATGAATTAGACTTCAAATGCTATTGTCCAGTCTGATAAATGCAACTTACAAAATTTGAATTTCATGAATAATCTAGAGTTTGAAATCTATGGAGAGCAAAGAGATAGGCATCTTTTTTTCTTTGTTTGATAGATTTTTAAGCATGTAGAAAAAGGAAATGCCAAAAAAAAGTGCTACACATCTTTATTTCTTTATTTCTCACCCATATGCTGTAATTATAGGATATAATTCCAACCATTTGGATACAGTGTTATTACAGTCATTAGCAGTAGTCTAACAATCAAGTTCATGTAAAAGAAATATTTACTCATTGAAATTTTTACTCATTTTCCTCCTAAAGAAGTTTTTACTCATTGAATATCAAAATGATATGATAGTAATGTACTTTTCCATGAACTGTTATATAGATGATTATTAAAATCTAGTTTTTTTAAAAAAATTGTATACATATGTGCTTTAAAAGCAAGTACAAATCTATTGTGAAATGAGTTTAATTGTGCTAATACTTTGTATTTTAAGTCAAGAGCATAATGTTGTCATATTTTAGACCCTGGAGGTTAGTGAGAGGATATGGGGAATGGAAGACCTCCCTTCTGTCAGGGAAGAGGTGGTCCAGGAGCGCCTAGGCAACACCAATGTTCACAAATCCATGGGACCCGATGGGATTCATCCATGGGTGCTGAGGGAGCTGGCAGAGGTGATTGCTGAACTGCTTTCTGTCATCTTTGAGAAGTCTTGGAGGACAGGAGAGGTGCCTGAAGACTGGAAGATAGCCAATGTCACCCCGGTCTTCAAAATAGGCAAGAAGGAAGACCCAGGCAATTATAGGCCAGTCAGCCTCACCTCTGTCCCTGGAAAGGTGATGGAACAGCTTGTATTGGATGTCATCTCCAGACAACTGGAAGAAGAGGTGGTTATCAGGAGTAGTCAGCATGGGTTCACAAGGGGGAGGTCGTGCTTGACCAACCTGGTAGCCTTCTATGATGTTGTCTCTGGCTGGGTGGATGGGGGGAGAGCAGTGGATGTAGTCTACCTTGATTTCAGCAAGGCTTTTGATACTGTCCCCCACGACATCCTTATAACAAAGCTGAGGAAGTGTGGGATGGATGAGTGGACAGTGAGGTGGGTTGAGAACTGGCTGACTGGCAGAGCACAGAGGGTCGCTGTTGGTGGTGCAGAGTCTGGTTGGAGGCCTGTAACCAGTGGTGTTCCTCAGGGGTCGGTGCTGGGTCCAGTCTTGTTCAACATCTTCATCAATGACCTTGATGAGGGGATAGTGGCCACCCTCAGCAAGTTTGCTGAAGATACAAAGCTGGGAGGATTGGCTGACACGCCTGAAGGCCGTGCTGCCATTCAGCAAGACCTGGACAGGCTGGAGAGCTGGGCAGAAAAAAACCGGATGAGGTTTAACAAAAGCAAGTGTAGAGTCTTGCATCTGGGGAGGATTAATTGCATGCACCAGTACAGGTTGGGGGATGACCTGCTGGAGGGGAGCTCTGCAGAGAGGGACCTGGGTGTCCTGGTGGATGACAGGTTGGCCATGAGCCAGCAGTGTGCCCTTGTGGCCAAGAAGGCCAATGGCTTACTGGGGTGCATTAAAAAGAGCGTGTCCAGCAGGTCTAAGGAGGTGATCCTCCCCCTCTACTCTGCCCTGGTAAGACCTCGTCTGGAGTACTGCATCCAGTTCTGGGCTCCCCAGTACAAAAAAGACAAGGATCTCTTGGAAAGAGTCCAGCTGAGGGCCACGAAGATGGTGAAGGGCCTGGAGCATCTCTCCTATGAAGAAAGGCTGAGTGAACTGCGCCTGTTCAGCCTTGAGAACAGAAGACTGAGAGGGGACCTGATCCAGGTCTATAAATATCTAAGGTGTGGGGGGCAGAATGGCGAGGCCAGACTGTTTTCAGTGGTGAGTGGAGACAGGACAAGGGGAAACAGCTGGAAACTGCAGCACAGGAAGTTCCGCACAAACATGCGCAAGAACTTCTTTACAGTGAGGGTGACGGAGCACTGGAACAGGCTGCCCAGGGAGGTTGTGGAGTCTCCTTCTCTGGAGATGTTCAAGACCTGCCTGGATGCCTACCTGTGCGACCTGGTGTAGGGAACCTGCTTTGGCAGGGGGGGTTGGACTCGATGATCTCTGGAGGTCCCTTCAACCCCTACAATTCTGTGATTCTGTGATATTTTTTGCATTTTTTCTTCAGAAAGCCTCCTAATTTAGATTTCCAGTTTAACTACATAAGGACTGAAGAAGTCAAGCCTTAAGTATTATCACTGTAAATATATTAGATGCTTTGAATACTCTGAGATGAAACACATCATCCCAACACGCAATAAGAATATAACACCTAATTTGTTTTACATGAAGTACAATATATTTATCTATCCATTTATCTGTCCATCCATCAATTTATCTATCCATCTATATGCCTATTTATCTGTCTATTTAATTTTAAATAGACAATTATTAGAAATAATTTAGAGAGCATATATGCATAGGCTTTATTTTCTTTTTTCCTCCTTATTTTTTTATTCTATATGCTGTATTTTAATCAATCATATATTATTATTTCTAAACTACAAAAAATCAACTTCATAACATCGTCATTCAGAACAAGATTAATAGCTCCAATGTCTAATAAAAAATATTCTTTTTTTCTTTTTTTTTTTCCTTTTTTTTTTTTTTTTTTCCCCCCCACTATCATATTCTTCTTTCTTGGAAATGTGGAGGTTAACATAGGTGAATAAAATGTTTAATAGTTTTAGCTGAATAAATTTCTATTACATATTTAATAGTCAGCTAAGCCTTACTAAGAATATAATCCTGCAAAAATTTCAAGGAAAATACAGACCTACATAAAGCTGAGATAGCAAGAAAAAGATTGTCTAAAGATGTTTTTTGTATAACTCCTGGTTCACAGGAGGGTTCCGATTTTTAGGTTGCTTTTGTCCTTTAGGACTTCTTTTTAAAGTGTCTGCTGAAGCTAATATGTATACACACATACAGCATTCCAATCTCTGTCATGTATTCTAACATATTTTTCTAACATATTCTAACATATTTTAAAGATTTTATATCAAATTTTATCATACTGAGCTTTGGTAAAATGGTGCCCTTCGTCTATCCAGACCTCCACTGACTTTGATACCAACTACACCTGAAAACAGTGAAGATTCACAGGCAGAACTGGAATGTAGTATATAAAAAAACATAAAATGCACTGTATTATGTTTGATATAATATATAGTATTTACATATATATAGTATTTTATGAATGAGTGAAAATGTAGATATATAATTTTCTTGATCAAAAAATGAATATTTTTTTTTTACGAATGACAATGTTGATGACATTTGATTACTGAATGTTCAAGCCATGAACATTTTTACTGAATAATAAAATAGTTTATACAACAATTAGATACATAGACATTAAAAACTATTTTGTTTATCTGGTCTTTGTCAGAAGGAAAAGAATGTTAATTACAGCAGCGTGTCATAGTATTCTATATAATAGATATGGTCTTTGCTCTGGTATAGGATAAAACAGATAAGGAGTAGAATTGGGTTGTAATGAATAAGTGCCAATGAGAAAAATTAGTTTCCAAAACTGACGCTTTTTTGTGCTAACATCCATTTTTCTTCTTTCTTTTTTCTTTTTTCTTTTTTCTTTTTTCTTTTTCTTCTTTCTTCTTTCTTTTTTCTTTTTTCTTTTTTCTTTTTTCTTTTTTCTTTTTTCTTTTTTCTTTTTTCTTTTTTCTTTTTTCTTTTTTCTGTTTTCTTTTTTCGTTTTTTTTCCCCAGAGGAGAAGTTGAACCTTTTTCTGCTATGACCCTTATGACATCTAAGCATTTCTCATTAGTACACTTCTGGTGATTACTTCTGGTGATCTCATCTGCCACATCTGTTTTTTTTTTTTTTTAATGTTTTACCTCCCAGGGTTTATTTCTATACTTTTGTTAATCCTGCCCTGCCATCAACATCTTAAGTTTACTTTACATCTTTTAATGATGTTGGTTTTCTCTTATTTTTTTTCACCAGTAAAATTGTTTTGGAAAACCAATAAACAAATTTAAAAAAAAAATTACCTTAAATATTTTGAACACCAATCTGGATTTTTACAAGTATGTTACTAACAATTGCTATTGACAGAAAATTAATAGATTGATTAAAATTATAACAAAAATAAACAAGTGAATAAATCAGAATGCATTCTAAAGTCCAACTATTTTGTCATTCTGACTTTGTCCTTCTCAAGAGTCAATGCACCACAGAGATTTCATGACTATGTTGGCTGACCCGTGAAATTGCCTTTTCCTACTTATGCATATATTAACAAACATTGATTTATTGTGCCCTTCCTGAACTATATGGGTCGATGGTCGTTGCATTGTGGAAATGAAATATGGAAAATCTCTATACTACTTCTTAACCTTTTTCCTGGTCTGACCTGGACTATTCTTTGGAAAGAGAAACATTGGATGTGACTGAGGAGTGTAGGAACTAAACAGATCTTTTTCTTCTTGAGCTTCATGATTGGAATAAAGTGATATCACTTGTTAAAAACTCCCATTTACCTTTCTACTACCAAACAACGTTTTCTTTGAAGTAAGTGTCCAACGAAGCTGAAAAGTTTGGAATGTTTTTCATTTTTGCTTTGAAAGCAAATACAAGAAAATAAAATTAGTCTGCTGAAACATAAACATATCAACAAAGCACAGTTGTTAGAAAATGGGGACTCTTTTTAGTGCACATTTTTTTGCTTTTTTTTTTTAACCTGAAAAAATGTGGAAGTCATAACTACAAATGATCTTCATCCTCATGTGAAAATACACTTTAAAAATACCTTTTCTGTGCACATAATTATTGTAAAGTGTATCAAATAGCATCAAAAATTAATACGTGGAAGAAATAGAAAGTATGAATTTTGAGAATGGCACAAAAATGCAAAAGTAAGATTGAGTTGGCAGGTGGCATATAAGATTTAAAAGTTTAGAAGCTCTGTTTGAAACATAAAAGAAAATGAAGAAAATATGGAATAACGAGGGTATGTGGAAGTCACAGAAGTCATAGAAGTAATTATTTTCCTTGAGTAGACAAGCAAATTATGCTTTAGTTAGAAGACTTACCCGATTTGGAGTGACTTATTTGGTGATCCAGCCTAGGATGTATGTATAAAGGCCTCTCAGTGTTTTGGTGGACATTTTATTTTTGTCATGGTTTTATGATTTTTGGTCATCAGTATTCCACACCATAACATCATGTAATGCACTGGGGGTGGGGTTTGATATCTGCCGAATGTTCGTCTGTCGGAGAAGAACTACATTTCCCCAGGAGGCTTTGCGGTCAGCAAGGGGATATAACTCCATGCAAGGTCACCTGATACTTCTTCTTCGCCTGCTCTTCGCTGTCTGCGCTTCGCTATCTGCACTTCGCCGTCTGTACTTCAGTCACTCAACTGGACTGCACTTCTCACCCCAGGATTGTGGTGAGGTCTATACAATTCAAACAGACTCTCTCTCTCTCTCTCTTTGTATTTTACTAATACTATATTTAGTAAAATCATTTGTTCCACCTCAGATCAGTGCTGTTGTTTTTCAAGTATTTTGGGGTCCCCTGCTTCCCCTTTCCCAGAGGCGCGGATCCGCAGATCCCTCCGCCCTGCTGGTCACGGAACTGGGCCGGACCAGCCCATAAACCGTTGACAATTTTTAAGCTTCTTCCTTTTCCTGTCCCTTCCCCTTCCCCTTTTCCTTCTGATCACTCTTATATTATTTATCAGCTCTTTAGAGCATCCCATCTCCATTTTATCCCGCTTTCTTTCTGTTGTGACAGCTTTTGCCTTAGTGATACTTTATCCTTCACGGTGCAAATCCCTCTGCAGCAGAACATGGAATTAGTTAATTGCTTAAGGATTTTTAGTTATTTTGTGTTTGTTTCCCAATGCTTTATTATTATTATTAATATTATTATTATTACTATTATTAGTAGTAGTATTTTATTCAGCTCTCCTGAAACATGCAACTTCTTTGGGCATTTCAGCTCTGAGCTTTTGCATTTGGATGTAGCTTTTGTTGAGTTTATTAAAAATAAATAAATAAAAAGCTTTTTAATTGATATTTTATTTTAATTGAATTTCAGATAAAATTTAAATCAGTTATCTGTTCTCTCCCAGGAAAATTCCTAATCAGACATTAAGGATATTTCAGAAATCTGATTATTTTTGTCTCTTTCTGCTATTTTTAGTGTACAGCATAGCTATTAAGATTGAAATTGTTACCAATGCTAATATTACTTTTGTTATATTTTAATCATGTTACAAACCAGACTATACCAGTAACATAATCTACTAACATTTTTATGCAACAGCACTGCCATTGAGTACCTAAAGCTCACGTCTTTACAACTTGATTAACTTCATTCAGTAATTCTATTTAGTGACAGGACGTGACAGTTCAGGCTGATGGGTGAACTATCTTTGGCTTTTTGAGAAGCCATTTAGTTCCTTTCCCTATTGATTGTTGTGATTTATCCCAGCAAGCAGATAAATACCACACTGCTGCTCATTCGGAACCCCAAGCGTGATGGGGGAGAGAATCAGAAAGAAGTGAGAGAACACGTGGATTAAGATAATGACCACTTGCTAGGGAAAACAAAATTCGTATGTGCAAGAAGCAAATAATTCAATTGTTACTTCCCAGATATCCAGCCACTACCAGGAAAGTGGGGATCATCATGTGCAATGGTTTCTTAGGATAACATACTTCTCCCCACATACTCTGCCCCCTCTTCCCCTT